CTGACCTCCTCCCTGGCCTCCTCTCTAACCTCCTCTCTGACCTCCTCCCTGGCCTCCTCCCTGACCTCCTCCCTGGCCTCCTCCCTGGCCTCCTCTCTAACCCCCTCTCTGACTTCCTCCCTGCCTCCTCCTGGCCTCCACTGGGCTCCCAGCCTCCTCTGTACCCACTGCCCTCCTATTCTTCCAGTGTCACTTCAAGGTGACCCCAGGACTTGGGCTGGGGCAGCCTCCTCTGGGGGCCCTTCCGGCTCCCTGGGTGGCCCTCCGTGGCTCTGATCACCTGTGTGTGGCTGCCTGGCCTCGGGTCTGCCTCCCTCCTGGACGGGGGCTGCAGGTGGACAGGGCCAGGCCTCCTGGTCACTGCCGGCCCTGAAGCCCAGCTCAGGCCGGGGCACCCACAGCCGGCAGCACCAGGGTGAGGGAGGGAATCGGGCGGGAGGTGGGGCCCGGGGGCCGGGCATCGGCCCTCGGCAGCCCCCCGTCCAGCCGGGTCCCCAGCAGACAGCGCCAGGGGCCCGTCAGTGATCCCCCCCCCCACGGCCAGCGCTCTGCCTCCCCCGGGAGCGGGACCCATCCACCCCGCGGTGGGGCGCCCCACTCTAAGGAGGCTGGTGGCTGAGGGGACAGGGACACCAGGGTCTAAGGGGCAGAGGGAGAGTGTGAGCAGAGGTGGGGGAGGCACGGCAGGCAGTGGGAAGTTCCTCCTGCAGTCTACCCACAAGCTGGGGTGCAGTCAGGGGAGGGTGGAGTTTCAGCCTGGTGACGTGGCTCTGCCGGCCCCGGGTGGCAGCCGCGAAGGTGGTCCAACCCGGTGATGAGCTCTGCAGCCGCAGCCGCCGGAGCTCCACTCCCAACCATGAGAAGCAGGGGTCTCACCCAGGCCAACCCTGCCCTCGGGGGACACTGGGTGACAGGCAGGGACACGTTGGTGGTCGTGCCTGGGGTGTCCTGGCTGAGGAGGACGGGCCTTCCTTCACACCCGGCCCTCCTGGGGTGTCCCCCCGACTTCCCTGGGGGGACCCAGCGTCACACACTTTCAGGTGACGAGAACCCCCACGAGGCAAATCCCCGTCCCAGGGTCACCAGAGCAAGGAGGTGCCCTGTCCACTCGATGCCCGGTCCCTGGGGCCTGGAGGCCAGGGCTGAGGCTGGCCTCCCGCGGTGGCGCCCTGGGTCGGTGCCGGAGAGCCCCTTCCCGGCCGCGTCCTCGCTCAGATGGCGCTCTGCCTGCAGCCTCTGTGGGTCCTTTGTCCTCCGCGGCCTTCAGCTAATCGCCGCCTCCGCGGAGGGGGAGGGGGATACACACACTGGAGGCTGGAATAACGGAGGCCGCCGGCGGGGCAGGGGGTACTGACAGAGGTGGCCACTTGGCCCAGGTGGCCGCGTCCGGGATATTCAGGAAAACAGATGCGGCGGCGTCTGGCGGCTTGACTGACAGATGGTGGGTGGCCTGTGCCCAGGACAGCGCCCTCGGCTCTCCCCACCAGGAGCTCGGGAGGGAAGGCAGTGGGTGGGGAGCGGGCAGCAGAGACCACCCGGGGCAGCCCCTCTCCCGCCCTCACTTGCTGTGCGACCTTGAGGAACTTGCCTGCTGTCTCTGTGCCTTGTTGCTACTAAGCAGTCCCGAGGGTGCCCAGGTGGAGGGAGCCAGGAGGCTGGGGGGCAGGGCTGCGCGGTGTCCCCCCACCCCCAGCTGGGAAGCCCCACTCCAGGCCCCCTCCCCCCTCATGCTGCCCCTTTCCACAGCCCTCCCCCTCCTGACTCAGCGGCTGACCGACCCTGGACCAGCCTCCGTGTTGGGCCTGGGGACACAGCGGTGGCCGAGGGAGACAGCACCCAGGTCTTGGGGTTTCATGGGGGACCCTGGCCGGCCGCACAGCCCCAAAGTCACCTTGTAACGTCAATTTCTTGGAGCCAGGCCTGAGGCTGAGCCAGCAAGTCCCCCCTGCGGCCGGCGGTGGGCGTGGCCTTGGGCCCAGGGGGACGCCGGGCAGGGGAGGCCGCAGTGGCAGGCGCAGCCCCTCCTGGTGGTCCCTGTCTCTGTCACCCTGGGGTGACCTGAGCTTGGCCCCTTCTCAGGTGACCCCGGAGGCTGGTCTGGGTGGAGACGGCAGCAGGGACAGCGGGGGCAGCGGGGGCAGCAGGGACAGCGGGGGCAGCAGGGGCAAGTCGGGGGCGGGGGACTCCAGCGCCCACCGTCACCCGAGCAGGACTCGGGAGGAAGCCGCTGGCCCTCGGGAGCCGGGGACGGGCCCTGGAGGGCTGTGCCGCTGGCCGAGCGTCCCTGGGCAGAGCAGCTGGGCAGGCTGTGCCTGCGGGGCCCAGGGACAGTCCCCTCCCGGGTCCAGAGCCACAGCCCAGGGTCCTCCAGCCTCTCTCTGGCCTTGACCCTCTGCCTCCTCTCAGAGGACCTCGAGGTGACCATAGGCCACCGCAGCTCAGGGCCCTTGGCTGATCCCTCTGCCCCGGGTGGCGCAGCCAGAGACGAGGAGGTGGACCACCTGGGGGAATCCGGGGTCTGGGCCTCAGTTTCCCCGTCTGCCAAAAGGGGGTGGGGTCCTTGGAACACTGCCCAGTCCTTTAGGGGGGTGAGCAGGAGCAGCACAGCCCGCACCCTGGCCAGGGAGGTGGCCAGGGAGGTGGCCGCGCGCATCAGGGGGATCGAGATGCCATTGGGGCAGCATCCGGAGGAGCCAGGGGAGGGCGCTCTGGGACCTGGGGGCAGCCGTGCAAAGGCCCTGGGGCGGGCGGCAACCCCTCTTCTCTGGGAGCCTCCCCTGGGAGCGAGCGGCTGCTACAGGAAGGACGTCCATGTGCTCCCAGCCTGGAGGGCCAGGGCAGAGCCGGGGCAGCACGGCAGGGGAGGGCACCAGCGAGAGGAGGGGGCAGGCAGGCGGGGCCGGAGGATGGCCAGGGACACAGGGGACCAGGCCACTTCTGAGATGGGCGCAGACGCCGACACGGCTCAGGCCCGAGGAGGGACGGCCTGGGGACCTCCAGGGAGAAGCCCAGGGGCCTGGACCTGCCAGGTGACGGGGCTGGCGCCACAGACCCCCGCAGGCCAGAAGTGGGGCCGTCTCCACCACCGCGGAGGCCCCCGGAGAATTCAGGGACCAGGATGGGGACGAGGGCTACTCGAAGGCCCGCCCACCGCCTGCCCAGCAGGAAGCAAGTAATGGCCAGGGGTCATTTTGAGATATTTATTCAAGGTGCCCCAGGGGCAGGAGGCCTGTACACACTGGCAGACACAAATTGAGCACCTACTGTGTGCAGCCACTCCCCAGGCAGCGTGGACCAGGAGGTGACCCGGACAGAAACAATAAATAGGAACAAATAAGAAAAACCTCACCTGGGCACCGTGGCCAGCCTCCTCCCAGCCACGGGGAGGCTGAGGCAGGAGGATCCCAAGTTCGAGGCCAGCCTCAGCAACTTGGCAAAACCCTGCCTCAAAGTGAGAAACACCAAGCACCGAGCTCACGTGGAGCAGCCGGGTTCAGGCCCCGGCTCTGGGGCCACGAGGTGGGAGATGCGCCCAGCGCCCCGTCCGTCCTAAGTGGTGGCCACCGTGTGCCCGCCCCGGACCACTGTCTGCAGGCCCAGCAGGCCCTGAGGCCCGCACCGACCTGTCCCAGAACACAGTGGGCACCACAGGGACGTGTCGCCCCTGTCACCAGGTTGGGGTGTCGCGGATCCTGGCCTGTCACCCTGCGTGGCGTCATGGGGGACTGGGGTAGCTGCTCAGCTGGGCACCCAGGGCTGCAGGTGACAGTCCTGCTGGCCCTGTGGCCTGAGGCTCCACCAGGATCGCAGGATCCCTGCCCGGGCCACCTCGTGGCATGGACGCGGGCGAGGACCAGGAGGAGGCGGGAGGCCTTTGGGGCTGGCCCTGGAGTCCACCGTCGCTGAGGCAGGGTGCTGGCCACACGGTCACTAGGGACCACAAGGTCGCGAGTGCCCGGAGGCCGGGCTCTCTGAGACCTCTGGGTGGCCAGCCGCCGGGGAGTGTCACAGCAGCAGGAGGAGCCTGGGTGGCTGAGCAGTCCCCGGAGCTGCCCAGGGAGAGGCCGAGGGAGACGCGCCCGATGGCCGGGGAGAGGCAGCTCCGGGGGAGCCTGAGGCCCCTCCGCTTCTACTTCTCTCCCTCCCTCCCCGTGGGTCGGGACGGAACCGGGCCCTTGGGGAGCCAGGCACGCTCTGCGCGGCCTTCCTGGGCGGCCTCCTCCGGGGCCACCTGGTCCCAGCTGTGGACCTGGCTGACCGCGGACGGCACCCGACACCTTGGGCCAGAACAGCCAGCGTTTCCTCTGACGACGGAGAAGCGTGGGCCCAGGAGTCCTGGCCAGGCCGAGAGGGGCTGCGGGCAGTGCGCGCGGTCAGCCCTGGCTTCCCACTGCAGCGAGTGGCCTCTCCGAGGGGGTGGGCATTGGAGGGAGGCTGCGACAGCAAGTGACACCTAATGTTGACACTAAAGTGCCACCAAGAAGATGACCCCCAGGCAGCACCCCTGGGGGCTCAGGTCAGTGACACAGCGGGAGGGACTCTCAGGACCCGTTTCCAATCCTCTGATTCTCCAGGTGCGGAAACTGAGGCTCGGGGGGCAGAGCGGCCCCGACCCCTCCTTCCAGGGGCTCCTCATCTGCGGCCCGTGGGCACAGCACAGCTGAGCAGTGGGGGGAGAGGGTCCGGAGCAGCCGGTCCGTGGAGGCCCCGTGGGCGTGAAAACCCGGAGTAGACGGGACACCCTGCAGCCTTCGGGGGAGTCTGGGCTGGGCCTCAGAAGGTGGGACGGATTTGATGCTTGCTGATCTGTGGAACAGGCTGGATCAAACCATTCCTGATGTCCACCCACCTCTGAAGTGAAGGCCAACCTGGCCCCGCCCGGCCTTGTGAAGTGCTGGAGCTGGGGGCCATTCAGGGAACCCACAAGCTTCAGGGAAGACCTGTGGGGAGCCCCTTGCTGCCGGGCTGTGTCCCAGGCCCAGTCCCTTGGACCCCTTCCCCTCTGGGCGCCCCGGACGGCGCGGGGGCAGAGGAGTGTGTCCTCTGAAGCCCTTGAGCTTGCGTCTCTCTTTCGCTGGCGCCTCGGCCGGCTGGGATCCCCCAGTCCTCCCGGTCCCCCCCAGACCTGCTGCTGGGCTGTCATCCCGGCGGGAGGGCCTGGGAATCGCAGCAGAATGACCCTGATTGTCGCAGAGGCCTCTGGTCTAATTTCCCCAAACGGGTTCTGAGCGGCTAATGCGGCCCCCGCTGGGCAGGAGATGGAGCTCCCGGCGGGGCCTCGCGCTGCAGGCCAGGCCACCAGGCAGCCAGCCGCAGCCTGTCCCCGACCCCCAGGCCGGGGTCTGGGGGAAGGGCTGGGGAGACCCTGCCCCACTGGCCTGACCCTGGGGGCCGTGGGGGCTGGGACCCAGCTGCGGTCGGGGCTGGGGAGGAGGAGACGGGGCTCGGCTGGGGCGGGTCCTGGCCTCTGGCCCCGGGGCTCTGGCCGGGAAGCCGCTGGGTTTGGGGCGCCGTCTGGGCGGGGCTTTCTTGGGGTCAAAGGCCAACCCAGGGCCAGAGACTGGGTCCAGCTGGGCTCAGCCAAGGTCAGGTGCAGGACGGGGACAGGGACAGGTGGAGGGGGCCGCGGGGGAGGCCGGCCGGACCCCTGGTCTACACCAGCCCCGGGCGGCCCACGTGTCCCTCCGCGGTCCCGCTGGACGCGCTGGGGCAGGGCTTCGGACCCTGCCACGGTCCCCCTGCTCAGCGCTCCTGTGCCCAAGCCCCTCCAAGGCCGGAGTGGCCCTGAGGGACGCAGGGAACTGGGGACAGGTTCCTCTCGGGACGCGCCCGCCTGGCAGGGGAAGACGGGTGGCGGGGTGAGCGGGGTCTCCATGAGCCGCAGAGCCCAGACCAGTGAGGGCCACCACCCTGGGGTCCTGGGGGCACCCAGTCACCTGGGATCAGGCAGGAGCTGCTCCTGTCCCCGAGCCGGGCTCTGACCTGAGGGTGTGGGAGCCCCAGAGACTCCACCAGGGGAAACCCAGGGCTGCCCCCTCCCAGGGTCAAAGCCCAAGTCCTCCCTGAGCCCTGGGGTCCCCCACGTCCTACCTGGTCCCCTCCCAGTGTGCGACTCGGAGTTTGAGTACCACCTCCTCCTGGAGGCCCTCCCGGACTTAGGCCACAGCCCTCAGTTTCTGAACCCCGTCTCCCTATGTGTGTGGCCCGACCTGATCAGTGTCTGAAGCTTGTGTCCAATAGTTCATTATCTGAAGTGACAGGTTGATTTTATTGGCTGAGGATCCGTTGAACGTGCTGGTCACACCACTCCTGATGCTGACCCCCTCTGGATCAAGGGCACACCTGGCCTGGCCTGGCGGGCGGGACAGCACATCTCACTCCCAAAGGCAGGGGCGCGGGTCTGCTGGGTCTTCCTAAGCACTGGGCACTTCCGACCGCGGGGCTCAGCAAAGGATGCGTCATCTCAGAGCCTGGAGGCCAGAAGTCCACGGTCAAGGTGTGGGCGGGGCCACCCACACACTGACCCCCCCAAAGGCGCCAAGAGCGGGCCCACCCAGGCCTTTCTCCTGGTTCTTTGAGGGCAGCAAACCCCCATCCCCAGGGGACCCCCATGTCACACAGGATTCCTCCTCACCTGAGGACCCCCCTTCGCCCCTGGTTCCGACAGAGCAGGGGTGCAGTGCCGCCCCTCACCAGCAGAGGCCGCCCAGCACCTTCCTCCTCCAACCGGCCCCGCGGGCCTCGCCCAGCCGCGGCCTGACTGCAGCTGAACCCGCCGCTGGCGCCGGTTCCAGGCCCTGATGAGGCCACGCGGGCCCCATTTCACAACCTGGAAGATGGCGGGGTGGGCAGAGGCGGGTTGGCAGCCCCGTGTCCTCCAGCTGCCTGTGCCCGCGGCTGACCTCGGGAAGCCCTGGGCCGGCCACCTGCAAAACCTGCCCGGAGCCTGCCCACCCCTCCTCTGCCTCCCGGGCCTGAGCCCGTCACTGCTCCCCTGGGCCGGCCGGTCACCCACCCTGGTCCCTGCAGCTGGTCCTGCCTGCCTCGGCCACCAGAGGCCACCCAGCCCCTGGCAGAGGGGAGAGGACCGAGCAGAGAGACCCGGCAGAAGCCACCCCAGCCGGGCCCCACCCCGCGAACCCAGGCACCGAGGCCCAGCGGGTGGACTTGGGACGGGCCTTGGGAGGCACGCAGGGTTGGGAGGGTTGTGACAGTGTCCCCATGGTGGCATGACTGTCCCACGAGTTGAGGCGGCTCAGAGGGCGTCCTCTCCTCCCCCTCCCTCACGGCACGGAGGTGGCCGGCCGGTCTGCAGGCAGGGACACAGGACGCCTAGAGAGAGCGGCTGACCCCGGGGAGGCTGGGCCGCCAGCAGGCCCTGTCCCCGGCCTCCCGGGCCTCCTCACCGCCTCCGCCTCCTCACGCGCCTGCCCGCGGCAGGGGAGCCCCGGCTGCAGGTGCTGGGCACCTGCTGGTGGCGGACGGGTACCCAGGACGCTGTCCGGGCTCCATGTCACAGGGGCAGCTGGCAGGGGCGCAAGCCCAGGTCCTCCTTCTGAACTTGGGGATGACTAGGACCCGGGTTCCGAGGGCGACAGGGAAGAGACTGGGTCCTCCAAGCCCCTGTCCCCGTCCTCACTGAAGCAGGGTCCCCTGGCACCAGGAGGTTGCTGGATGGGCACCCTGGGCACTGCAGGGAGCTGAGCCCCACCACCCCAGGCCAGGGGCTCCCATCAGGCCACCGCACAGGTCCCCAGCCTGTCCCCGTCCCCCACCGCCTGTTCCCACGGTGCTGTGGGGGCGGGGACCAGCGAGCACACTGGCTGACGGGACATGGGGGGACACGTGGCCAGACCCTGGCAATTGGATGAAGTGGGAGGAGCCTCCCAGACGGAGCCCCAGGAGCGTATTGATCTCCACGAGGGAGGAATTAAATGATCCCTTTTGTTACTCAAAACGCTGCTCAGCAATTCCCTAATGGAAGGGCCGGCGCGGGCCAGCCGCTGGCGGCCACCCAGCCTCCCGATGGGGTGGAGGACGAGGAGCCGGGCGCCGGCCTGTCCCCGGGGATGGGGACAGAGCCCGCGGCTGGGATTTATCAAAGACGGACGATTATGAGAGGGGCCCACTCCCGACCACCCCAGGGGCACCCGGCTGATTCCCCGGGTGACACCTGGGGGGGGCTTTGGCACCCTGGGGACCGCGGGCTGGGCTCCGGCTTCTGTCCCCTGTGCAGGGCGGAGGCCCCCAGGACTGGGCACCGTCCCCAGTCCCCTGTGCTCTGGGGACCTGGCTGTGCGGCCACAGGCCCGTGACAGCCAGGCTCCTGTTGCCGCCGAGTCGGCCCCACCAAGTCCAGAGCCTTCTGTGCCCGGTGCTGAGCCGCTGGGCCAGGGACACGCAGGCCACACTGGCCCTCGGGGCCTGAGCCGGTGGTGGCGGGCGGGCTCTGGGATCCGTTTGCAGAGTTTCTCTGAGATTCAGTTGGAACTGGATGTCCCCTATTCTAGCTGACGTCCCACTGTGACATTCGGGTCCCCAGCTCCCAACAGCCCCCCGGGGGAGGGGCAGGAGCCGCTGCCTGGTGAGGGAAAGGAGGGGAGGGGCTACACCTGGCCGCAGGCACAGGGCAGGGGGCCCAGAGTCAAGGCCGCGCCCGGCACCGCGGGCGCACGGTCACCCCAGCAGCCCAGGCTGAGGCAGGACGAGCCATGCCAGGGGCCATGCCAAGTGCGGAAAAGCAATTCTCCACCCAAACCTGACCTCTGAGCCTCCAGAGCCACCGAGAGTCCACGCTCCTTCAGGGACAAGGGCCTTGTACTGGGGCTGGGGTCCACGCCTGCGGTGAGGGTCTCCGTCCCCTCATTCCCAGGCACCCACCGTCACATCTGTTCTTTTTTCCTTGATGTGCTGGGGCGGAACCCGGGGCCTCGCCCGGCTGGGCTAGCGCTCGGCCACCGCGCTGCATCCCGGGCCTCTGCTGACACTATCTGCAGACAGTGTCCCCCAGCTTCTCCGGTTGGCGCACATTTGTGGTCCTCCGGCCTCCGCTTCCCGAGTAGCCGCTGTGCACCACGGTGCCAGGCCAACCTGCCTCTGTCCACGTCGGCAACTCGCAGATCTCGTCCCATCAACAGCCTCAGTGCTCTGTCACCATGGGGCCAGGCCAGGGCTAGTCAGGGTCAGGGCCAGGGTTAAGGTTGGTCAGGGTCAGGGTCAGGGTCAGGGTCAGGGTCAGAGTCAGGGTCAGGGTTAGGGTCAGGGTCAGGGTCAGGGTCAGGGTCAGGGTTGGTCAGGGTCAGGGTCAGGGTCAGGGTCAGGGTCATGGCTAGGTTTAGTCAGGCATCGGATGGCCCCAGGAGGACGGGGCTCCGCCCGCTCAGGCCCCTGAGGACAGCCACCCCGTGGCCGATCGTCCCAAGTCCAGCAGATGTGGCAGGACCTCAGGGGTGGAGATGCCCTCGCGCCTCTGCACACAGGTGAGCCCCAGGGTGGACACTCGGGCCGCTGCACAGGGAGGG